TCATGTGTTTTAAATCAATTAAAACATTTTACAAAATCACAACCAACATGTTAATTATAGCCATTAACATTATCCAAGGTCACCATGTAATAAATATAATAATTCGTGATTTTACTCACGATTTGGATGGTTTTACTCACCTCTCGTCCAATCTGCGTCTTCAACAACTTAACGAATCCTCAATCTCAAACCTCAACGAGCAACTCAATCTCCAATAGTACCTAAGCAAAGTACATAGCTCAACTTAGCACAAAACTCCAAAATCCAAGATTTCGCATCTAATGACGAAATTGCCCTTTGGACCAACCGGGGATCCAAAGTGATCAAATCTCATCCAACCAACTCCAAAACTGTGACGTACGTGCTGTCGACGTCGAATCATGACCAATGACACCCATTGTCCAAAAGGTCACTATTTGGGTCCCGTGGGTCCCATATGTCTAACCGACACCCCAAAAATCCGCCTTGGACCCACAACCTCAGATTCCAAATCTTATTGCACCAATGGACTCTAAATAGTCCCGACATCACCCTGCAACAATTTGGGACCAATCCAACAGTCAGATAATTCTATATCGCACGATCGAATGGCGATCGCTCGCATTTACTTCGAAACATGATAACTTAAGATCGGGACGTCCGATCATCAATCTGTCTGAACCTACAGACTCCTAACAACACCAGCTACAACATAATTAAAATTGAACACAATCCAACGGTTCGATCATCTCCAACCAACGGTACAGATTTGTGAGGCTCCGATCGTCGACTAAACGATGGAATCTCAACAATTTAAACATACTATCATGTTCAGTGACTCTAGGACTACATTCTATCTATAAAGCCCTAACTCAGAATCCCCACCCTGCGCCTCCACGTGCCGCCACCGCCGGTGGTGGTTCGGGTACTATTCCGGCGACAGACCAACCCTAGAATCGCCGATCAAGACCTATGCCAAAATGTTCGTAATACTGAGTAGAGCAACTTTAATTTTTACCTCACGGTCCAATTCGAAGTGTAAGTGGCTCAAACCGCCGGTTAAAGTTGTTAAATTCACTGTTGACGAACCAACTTCACGGCGTCACTGTGCCTTCACTGCACCTCCGATTACTCCGATTCTTCTTGGGTTATGCTCACAAGATAGCACGCTTTCTATCTGGGTTGGTGGTGTCGATAACCTCCACCGTACACCGCCGCAGCAGCCGCCGGAATTCGCCTATCCGACGAGCTCTCAAACCTCCGGGTTCAATTGCAATGTCTGAACCCTCAACAGTGTCCATCTGATATTTATAGGCAAAGTCTCTGTTTGCAATTAAGTCCCTGAAACTTCAAACGGGCATAACTTCTTCGTTTCAACTCCGATTCACGAACCATTTGCGCCTACGCGTTCGTGAGATTAATCTCGATTTTCCAATTCAAAAATCATAATTTTCTCACTTCAATTTCTTGTACTTCCTTTGAAAAATCATAAACTTAATCATAAGGGTATTTTTGTCCCAATTTGATTAAACTCACTTAATTCCAATATTTTTACATCAAACCAAATTCATACAATACCCAAAATAGTCACACGACTTAATAAGATTTCCCACAAAAGTAATAAAACCAAATATTATTTTTGAGGTCATTACAGTTGTGGTAACTTTGTATCCCAAAATTGTAAAATCGGCCCTTAATTTTGTAAACCCTCATTTTACTAGAATACGGACCTAATTTACATCCTCATGGTCTACACTTATCAATTTCTTGTAATGTGGATCCATATCCTTGTAAAATAAGGATTTACAACATTAAGGATTATGAGAACCCTAACGTTGTAATCGTGGTACAAAAACTTGTAAATCACGACCCAAATCGTGTAACTTACATGTTTTTGGATCCTCCTTACAAGGTTATGGTACCATTGTATCCCAAAATTGTAAAATCGGCCCTTAGTCTTGTAAACCCACATTTTACTAGAATAAGGACCTAATTTACATCATCATGGTCCGGAGTTACCAATTCCTTATAATGTGGATCCATATCCTTGTAAATGAGTATTTACAACATTATGGATTAGGTGAACCCTAATGTTGTAATCATGGTTTAAAAACTTGTAATCCACTACCCAAATCTTGTAACTTATAAGTTTTAGGATTCTCTTACAATGTTATGATACTCTCATATCCAAACTACTATAAATCACTATCTAATCATATGCCAATTGCCAAACAGGAAGGGCATAATTGCATGACCCTTATGCAATTGCATTTTCAAAAAGTGGAAACTTGATAACTTGTATAACCGGTAACCAATTTTTTTAAAAATCTAGGAGCATCATAAAGGACAAATGGTGCATGAGTGCACCTGATGCACTATAGAAGGTGCCGGTTCATCATTAGGCAAGGCGGCTTCGATAAGGGCAATCATGGGTTTTTGACAGCGATGGTTGGTTTATAATTCACGGCGCAATTAAAAAAGACGCCTTTAAAGCGAAGGTCTTGTGCTTACGCCTGTGTGAGGCGGATGGGAGTGGTGATTGATGTGGTGGGACAAGGGTAGTGGAAGGTTGTGGGATATTTGCATGTTTGAGAATAAGTGATTGTGGGTTTTGCTAGTTGTCTGCAGCGCAAATCTCACGGCCTGGAGTTCCGGGCCGAGGGGATGTGCGTTAACACGGGGTTTCCTGCTTTTGGATGCGGTGCGGTTGTGCGCGGGTGTGCCAGCACGGTTTACCGTGCGTTGATGTTTCGATGAGTGTTGGATGGATGAATGTTGAGCCTGTTTGATCTGTCTTCCTGGTCAAACGATTGTAGCCGAGAGAGGAACTGGTCTCGGCTGTTAGGTTCACGGCCTGAACTACAAGGCCGTCGAGTGATGGCGTTGGTGGTGGATTTTGGGCGGTGCTCCGGCGCGCTGCTCAGGGAGCGACAGTCGTGCGTTTCAGCCTCTGCAAACAAGTGCCAGGGCCGAGAGAAAGGGCTCCTACGGCCAGCTCATGGCTGAGATTTATCAGGCACAAACATTGCCCCCACATCCCTGGATTCTTCGGCCTCGGCATGGGTAGGGGCAGAATGGATTCCAAGGGATGGACCCTTTGCATTCCTTTCTGAAGTGATTGACAACTGGGGCATTAAATGCGCAGGCCAATCGGCGCATTCCGCGCATTTAATGCCTCAACCACGTCACGCAGGCCATCATTTCCCAGGGCGTCGCTTCGCTTTGTCAGAGGAAGCGACGGCCTCTGGGCTTTTGACACGTCGCTGCGCCTGTTGAGCGTGCTGACAGAACGTTACGTCTCTCGAGAGAGACACGCCCTTTCGTTTCGAAATCCAGCGCCAATATAAAACCCAGACTTCCTTGCTTTCTCTTTACGCTTTCAAAATCTTCAAACGCCCAAGCTTTGTCAAAGACCTATTTCTCCAAACTTCAAAAACCCATCAAACCTTCGCCCCTCCAAGTTTACCAGAGAACCCCTCGTGAGCTCGCGATTTTCCCCAGAAACTACAGACCTTATTCCCCCTTTTCAAAACACTCACTTTAAACCTTCTCTAATGGCCTCCAATACCTCCACCTCTGCGGAAGTTAGGTCCCAAACCTTCCAAACTGAATTCGAGGCTATTTGCCGAGATATTCAGGGTTCGGTCCTTCCTGACATCATCGCGCCCTGGACCGACGATGATGGCGTCCCCACTAACTCCTGCGTTCTCGGCCCCTCCATTAATGACGGAATGCCAGAGAGACTCGTAGCCCATTTGAAGAACAACCTGGTGGATCACTCGGCCTTTGACGGGGGAGACTTTCAGGACTGGAACGTCCTCAGGCCGCAGCAACAGTGGCCAACTGCGACCCCAGACTGGGAGAAATGGCTGCCGAGGATGGAGCATTTCTTCGGTCAACAATGGAAGGATCAAGGCATCTACCACTTGATCAAGCTATTTGATCGGCCGCTCGTCATGGATCGGTCACTCTTGGCCGCGGCCCTGTGCTTCTGGTCTCGGCATGATGACACCGACCGTTCTAGACATGGCCGCCCTGTTCGGCCTGTCCCCCCTCGGCGTGGAAGTGAACGCCGCCCTCGTTGCTCCCGAGGTGGAAGGGAGTTTCAAGGCCACGTGGCCTACTCTTGCGAGAGTGGCTGGAAGCAAGGCGAAGAACATGCTCAACTACTCCAGCTTCTATAGCAACTTCGGCGTGGAATACAGTGATGGAGACGACGCCGTTGCCCCTCTCGGTGAGGTTGAACACGCCGCGTTCTTGTTATACTGGTTGTGCAAGTTCGTGTTTTGCACCCAGGCGAACAAGGTCACCCTGGAG